TGGTCCAATATATCAATATGAGCAAAGAAACTAATTTATGAATGTTTCTTTTAAAAATAGAGGTTTTAGTTTTAACCATGGCCACACGAACCAGTCTTTCTGCACCATGATGAAGTTCGACCACTTGTCCTAGTGGCCAAGAACCTGGAAGATGACCATCATCTAGTAACAGGACGATGTCTCCAATTTTCATATTCGGCTGAGTGTCCTTCCATTTCTTTCTGGTTTGAAGAGAAGATAGATATGCTTTGGTCCATGATTTGCAGAAGTCCTTCCGCATCTTTTGAAGGAGATCCCACCTATTCCGTATATTGGCAGGACTAGTAAGAGGTAGTTCAGGAGGGGATAGGATCACGTCTCCTGTAAGAAAATGTGAAGGAGTGAGAATATTAATGCAATCAATGTCAGTATTGTTTACACTACATAACTACATAACGGACGAGAATTTAAAATGGCTTCTATCTGAGCCAATAGAGTTGTCAATTCTTCGAAAGTAAGTAGTTTTCACCTATTACTCTTTTACAGTGATATTTGGTTGATTTAATTGTGGCCTCCCAAATTCCTCCGAAATGAGGAGATGCTGGAGGTATAAAGTGCCATTCTATTGATGCTTTAGTTAAATGATGAGCAACAGCTTCATTTTTAGAAAGTGAAGCCCACAATCGTATTTCGCTGAGCTTTCGATTAGCCCCAACGAAGTTTGTTGCATTGTCGCTGTAAATGTGACTTGGAGCTCCTCGTCTAGCACTGAAGCGATGCAGAGCAGCTAAAAATGCATGAGCGGTTAAATCTCTGACTGCCTCGATGTGTAGTGCCTTAGTAGCGACATTAAATAGAGCAATGTAACCCTTGGTTGATTTTGCTCTACGACCCTTGTTAAATTTAATTGAAATAGGACCGGCATAGTGCACTTCGCAGTTGAAGAAAGACCGCTCGAGTGTTACTCGATGCTTTGGTAGATTACTCATAAGCTGGGATGCGGATAAATTTGATGCATTTGTGAACAGAGATTTTTTCCACTTATGATCCAATATGATTGTTTGATCATGTGGGACAGTAATGAAGCACCAGCATGTAAATAAGTCACATGCTTTTCTTTTACGATGAGCTCACTTATCTTCTGTTTGGTAAGTAGAATCACTGGTTGCTTTTGATTAAAAGACAATTCTGAATTTTGTAAACGCCCTTCCACCCGTAAAAGACTGTTTTCATCTATAAATGGATGGAGGGAGTGTAGCTGACTTTTCTGCCATAAAAGTACGACTTTGCAGTCTGTCCAAGCGTAAACATCACACTTATATTTTTTTAGAGTGTTCATGACTGCACGATATAACTTTGAAAGCAAATGAGCACTGCATAATTCCAATTTAGGAACAGATACTGGTTTGATAGGTGCGACTTTAGTTTTAGAAACTAAGAGAGAAATCTTTATTTCATTTCCATATATTTGTTTGCAATATATTGCAGCAGCGTAAGCAAGTGTTGAAGCGTCGCAAAAGCCGTGCAATTCAAATGTGTCAGAGGAAATAAGCGTGACACCTCTAGGAACGGTAAAATGTTCAACTGCATTGAAAGATTTCTGAAATTTAAACAAATCTTCAGCAAGACTTTGTGGAATAGGAGAATCCCAGTCCCCTTTTGTAAGCCAGAGCTTTTGATAAAAAATTTTCAATACAACAGTACATGGTGAAATTAATCCTAATGGATCGAAAATGCGTGCCGATTGGGACAAAATGTGTCTTTTTGTCAGCGGTGAGGTGAGTGCAAGTGCGGGTTTGAAAATGAATGTGTCTGTTGAAGAGTTCCAAAATAATCCTAAGACTTTCGTGCTTTCCTTATCATTAGGAATTATTTCTAAATTAGTGTCCGTTGAACAATGTTCTTGAAATTCTGCAAGAAATGCATTTGAATTAGAATTCCACTTTCGTAGGTGGAAACCGTGCGTTTGTAAAATATTGGTAATTTCCTTACAAAGTGATATTGCATCACTATCGGTACTTGAACCCGATAGCAAATCATCCATGTATACATCGTGTAGTAAAGTATGAGAAACAGCAATATTTTGTGAATAATCTAGTGCAATTTGCTTAATGCACCTAGTGGCTAGGAAAGAAGCTGGAGCTAAACCATATGTTACGGTGTTTAACTTGTATGTGCGTATTTCTTCGTTAGGATTAAACCTCCAAAGAATTTGTTGGTAGTTCCGATCCTCATCGGACACTAAAACTTGACGGTACATTTTCTCTATGTCTGCTGAAAAGACTATTTCCGGAAATCGAAAATTAAGTAAAATTTCGAAAATGTCTCGTTGCAATTTAGGACCAACACCCAAGATTGAATTCAATGATTTACCGTTGGAAGTTTTACATGAAGCGTCGAAAACGACTCTTAATTTGGTAGTTGTACTAGACGGCTTGATCACTGCATGATGGGGAAGGAAATATTGTTCATTATGAAATCTATTTAAACAGTTTTGTGTGAACAATTCTATATGACCTAAATTTTCATGTTCCTGCATAAAATCCTTGTATTGGTTTTTAAATTCCAAGTTTTCCTTAAATTTACGTTCCATAGCATATAATTGAGAAAGTGCAACTGGTTTTGAATTACCTAATTCAGATTTAGAGATATAAGAATGGCAACTTCACAACAAAATGACCATCTGAATTAATTGAGTAATTTTCCTGAAAATGCATTTCAACAAATTGTTCTTCAGGGTGAGAATACAGTGTCAGTTGAATTTGGTACTTCTTCTAACTCCCAAAACCGTTTCAATTCGGTATCAATATTTATTTCATAAATATGCAATGTTTGAAAGTGAATTTGATTTCGTTTGAGATTCCGGTAGTTTTCCGGATATGAGGAAACCAAAAATTAGGTTTTGAGCAATTAAATCATTTTGAGAACTAGTTATTTGTCTGGGAAGTAAAATAGAAAACAAGTAGTCAGATCCTAGAATAATATCTATCTTATCCGGAATGTGAAAATATGGATCAAGCTAACATTACTAATTAATTTTTAGCTAACTAATTAACATTTTTCAAATGCGAAAAATCTTTCTCATTTATTTTTTTGCTTGGAAGCGCAGCAGTTAGTTTATCTAATACAAATGCCTTAATTGGCATTCTCACTGATGTATCATGGATTGACATCAACTCAATTTCAACGGAGCCTTTTGTAACTGCGACGACTGACTCAGCTAAACCCTTGACAGGAAAACGTGCATTTTTTCTTTTAAATCCCAATAAATTGATACAAGATTCAGATAATAATGTTGATTTGGAACCACTATTCACACTTTTCATGCAGAGTACTATGATGCAATAACTGGCAATAATGACACCGATGTTGAGACATACATTCCGACTTTTTGTACTGACTAGAAAAACAATTTAAAGAAAGATTATTTTTCCTAACAAATTGAATTCTTTCTTTGACACTTAATGTTTTAAATTTGGGGCATTTGAAAAGAAAATGATCTGATTTACAAATAATACATTTGATACCTTTTGTTAACAGAAAATCTTTTAACACTAGGTTGAGTTTTTTCCCTTTCTTTTTCGTGGAAAATTTCTAAAGAGGAACATCTATCATTTATAAATTGAATAAGAATTTCAAAAGTAGGAAATTCCACTTTTGCTAAAAACTCAGACCATTGTTTACATGTTTTGTTGTCAACCTTCTGTAATAAAATATAAATTAGCCAGACATCCCTTTCAGTAGCTTTTTGGATCAATAGATTTTAAACCTCTGATGATCTCATCAGATGTATTGGCAATTTTTCGCAAATTAATTGCGTTTGCATTAATTACACGAGAACCTAGATAATAATTTTCCCCAGACTTCCATATAACTATTTTCTGAAATGGGAATATGTTTAATAATAGAAGCCAGTTCATCAGTTAATAAACCCTTTAGATATTGAAATTTTTTAATATTGCTTAAATTTTCATTGTTATGTACTAATGATACATATATGTCCGTGAAGACAGTTTCTGTAATTACCATTGAAAGACTGCATATTTATTCTCGGTAATTTAAAATTATTAGCAGTATTTGTAGTACTATAAATGGTATTTGACGTTCATTAACATGAGTAGTAACTTGCATATTAACAGTAACATTTCATTTCTCAAGTTCTTGTTGTAGTTTGGCTTTGGTTTCATAATATTTTTTCTCAAATTCTTCCATTTCAGAACTTTGCAGCAGAAGTTCTGCGTCTGCCTTGTCAAAATCAGAATAAACACTTTCAATTTCTCAAGTTTATTCATCAAATTGTGTTTTTCGAATAATTGCTTATCGCCATTAATGAAATGTGAAACAGGTTGAGTTGTTCTGTTCCGGTGCACCGGAGCAACTGCCATTTTGATTAACTGTGAGTTTTGCATTTATGTTATGTGACCTGACTTTGTTTCTTTAGAATTCTTATAACTACATTCTTACACTTACATTAGTTTTACATTAGTTTTACAAATATTGATAAAATGAGTCAATCTGCAGTTCACAGTACAAAATTACCATTCAGTATGATAGGTTATGAATTAGATTGTAATTGAATAACATTTAATTAGACACTGAAAAGAAATTTGAGTTTCAAATAAGTCTTGGAAATTTAAAATTTTAAGTTATTACTAAAATGTTTAAAAAGTAAGTTTTCTTGAAGCTACTAGCTAGTGATGATACCAGGTCCGGTCAGTATTGTCTTAAAATCATTTGCATGTAATCACATTTTTGTTCAATCCAGCATTTCCGTAACATATGAATAAGTTTAAATAACTCTATTGGAACACAGATGCAATGCAAATATTTCTTGTAAAATAAATTTTAGAAACTTTTTTTTATTTATTAAGCTAATGTTATATGCCTTGTATTATATGAATTGTAATGTAATATACTGTTTTATTCAGTGAAATTAAAGTTTGTTTGATTGCATGCATTCTTTTTGCATTAATAAAGTACTTTTCTTTGTTTGAAGTCTGAAAATTTTCCTTATTGCTTAGGATCATCTTGTTTGTTACTTGCCTGGAACATTAGCACTGGGATACCATTATGGAATGCCCTCTTCTCATTTACGTTTTGCATTTGATTTGATGGAGACCTGCTATAATATGTATGCTAAAACTGCTACATTTTTAAGCCCTGAGATAGCATATTTTAATCTATTGCCACATGGAACTGCTGATATTATAATTAAGGTACAGTATGTTTTGAATATATTTTTATGTCTATTGTGTAGGTGTTTGTATGAAAAATAGATGAGATTTAGGTATTGTCAGATATGTTTGAATACCTTTAAACATGAATGTATAGGGAACAAATAGTCAACCGTATTTTCTCTTTTCATTTGATATTTTTTCTTGTTCCAGTATTCCAACAAAATAGTTAAATGACATATTAAAGAGAATATTATGTTTTTGTTAAGTAACACGTTTGCATCTACTGCCAAAAAATATCAGTATTTTATTTCATTACATCAAACAAATGTAACATGTGTGACTCCGAAAAGTAAAATACACAGAGAAAATATTCCCATGACTCGAAAAAGGGTTTGTGAAATTGTGTCAGAGGAAGACGTAAATAATTTTCAGGATATTTTGTGCTGTACCAAAAAATTTTGATTTGAATTTAGACGTATGGTATAAAATTATTTGTAATTCATTTTCTCATGATTTCACGTCTATTATCTTGTGTGAAATTCTGAGAGAATTGTATAAGCTTTTTTAAATTGTTCTTGGAATATTTAAAAAATTTTTTTTAATTGAAAATTTGCTATATTTGTTACTTATGTCTGACATTTATTTTTATCATTGACATTAGAAATAATTTTTAATTTGTGCTTTTACTCAATCATGCTAACATCTATCTGTGCAAAACAATATACGAGTAAATTTAGTTTATCAATACCCTTTATTTAAAATATGCTTTATCATTCTTGTTATATTTTAATGGAAAGCTTCCAAAAGCGTGTCCATGAACTCCATTATTTCTTTCTTATTGGGTGAACTTAGCAATAACGTCTTTTCAGAATGTTTCTCTTGCAAACTTTTACATGGTTACTAGAATGTCTCAATTGATAAAATAGCCAAGCTGCTGAACCACATTTGGACTCGTATTGCACTAAGATTTGCCTCAGCTATTTCTAATTCAGAAAAAATTCTTTTAGTATTCTAAGTAATTGACAGAAATATATTAATAGTTATGCTAGTATGTAAATTTCACTAAATATACTACTTCAGTATATTCATCTTCATCTAGCAAGTAATGTCTCTTATTAATTTATATGTGTATTTATTACAAGAATGAAAAACACTCTTAAATTTTGATTTGAACTGTGTAAAAACACAGTAATAATATATAAGTGTTTAGTTGCTTTAATATTGACATAAAGTGTTCAGGACAATAATATCTACAAACGTTTTGGAAAATGTTTGAATGTAATAAAACCACAAATTGAAAATTCATGTGTGATTCAAATTGCAATTTTTTGTGCATCAATACTGTGTTCAGAATTTCATAAAATATACTCCTAAGTTCTGAATATTTGTTAATATTTATTGGTTATTTTTATTTTTCTGGTTTTATGTATTTATTATTATTATTATGTCTGTATTACTCTTGAGTATATCGCTTCAAAACCTGCAGTCTAATTTTTCACTTACATATAACTCGCTAATTTTCGCTTTTGCAGTACAAAATGTCTTGAATTTTATGTTGCAATGTATCAAACAACGCATCTGTAAACTCGGCTATCTTGAGAAAAGTAGGCAGGAAAAAATGTTTTGTTTCTCTCTTAAATAGGTAATGAATGAAACCTAAAATTTTTTTTGTTTTCCTGTCCTATTACCAAAACCCATTTTTGACTGAATTAAAAGCGCTATGTAATATTTGACAATATTCACAAGCATTGAAGAAAAAATTATGCTTCTTTGGTGTCATTCATAGATATTTATTTTCTGTAAAGCTTTTTTAAGGACAGCAAAAGGATGAAAAATTTGATTTCTAAACAATGCGAAGAATATTTTTATTGTAATAGAATGTGTTTCTATTCATTTACAGTTTCATTTTAACAATAAGCAAAAGTTGCAGTAAAATAAGTATAGGCAAGTCTTAAACCTTAGCCTTAAACTTGTGTTAGGCAAGCCTTACACAACTAGTATATGCTAACAATTTTTGCAACTTCAGCTACTCAGCAGAATTGTCCGTATGCAGCCTATCTGCACTTGCATTAGAAAAATGTAGAAATTTCTCTTGCAATTTCATTCTTTATCAGTGTAACCTCAGTAAAGTAGATTGTTGGCTTTTATTTATTACATCAACTGTTTTATGGAGGAAAGTGTAATGAAATATGTCTTGGATATTTCTAATCCAGTTTTATCAGTATTTACTCCTAGCTATGGTGTAACAAAAATAATTTTGTTTTTCAGATGATGTAAATCTACACAGAACGTGTTTGTAGAAAGTTAGAACCAATAGCTGTATTAGAACCAATAGTTCCAATAGCTGTATATTTGAGCTTTTGTTTATTAAGTTTTCATAGTGTTTGCAGCCTTAAAGAAACACGCTCGTTTCCCAGAAATGAAATTGTATCATATCTATTTTCTATGATACTTTTAATTTGCAAATTGCCTCTAGTATAAACTTACAGAATAATTATTTCTCTGGATTCTGTATATTTGAAGAGCAATGAACCCTTTTATGTGATTAGTTAAAGTTACACTCTAAGTTTGCTTAAAGTCTCAACTAATCTCCTCCATTGGACTCCCAGATGACTTTTTGTCCAATCTTAACTTAGAGTACTGGAATGTAAACTAGTAACAACTAGCATATGAAAACAATTAAAATAATTTTTGGTAATTCAGACTGAAGCTACAACTAAGGAGAGTAACAAAGCTAAACTTCTGGCCACTTGGGGAGTTGGTTGCAATAGTAGCTGTTTGCTTAGAGCATAGGCAACGGTGCCCCTTCGGATGTAAAAACAAATGAAAATCTCACTATTGAACAAGCAATACAGCACCTTTGCAGGAACTGCTGGGAGCTTAAGTTGGCAAATGTCTTTTCCTAAACTTAAATCTCATTATTGAAGCCCGGTTTGCATTTTCTGGCAGAAAGTTGAAACAGTAGAAGAACAAGAAAGATTTATTATACTCGGTGTCCATAAAAGAATGTCCGAGTTTTAATGGTATATTACGGGAGTTTATTTTATACTAAATATAACAAATCATACATGAAATTGAAGGAAAACTAACCTAGTTTTTCCTATAAGTGCTCAATGTGTGCACCTTTAGTGATACGGCACACATCCAAACGAAAATGCAATTCTTCCCATACTGTCTGCAGCAAGTCCGGAGTAATGGAAGCCTGTGCAATTCTACCTTTCAAGGTTGGTAAATCGTGGGGTAGGGGTGGAACGTAGACTCGATCTTTTACGAAGCCCCAAAGGAAGAAATTACAAGGCGTGGTGTCAGGTGAACGAGGCGGCCAGGGTAACAGAACTCTGTCGTCTGGACCGTGACGCCCAATCCAACTGTCAGGGACTTCGACGTTTAACCAATCTCGCGCAAAGAGACTCCAATGAGGAGGGGCTCCATCTTGTTGCCAAATAACGTTTGCAGGTTCACTTTCTACTAATTGGGGAAAGAGCCATTGTTGTACCATATCTAGATAAGAAACCCCTGTTACTGTAGCTTCAGTGGAAAAAAATGGTCCGTACACTTGTCGTCGTGAAACAGCACAGAAAACATTTATTTTTGGAGAATCTCTTTCGTGTTGTACAAGTTGATGAGGATATTCTGAACCCCATATACGAACATTATGGGTATTTACCTTCCCACTTGTATGAAACGTCGACTCATCACTGAACACCACATGATGGCAGAAAGTCATTGTGCCGTTGAAGAACTTCACATGCAAAATGAAATCGTACTGCACTAGTCATTTGGCTTTAATTGCTCTACCAAATGTAATCGGTATGGAACGCAAGTGTAATTTTTTTTTTTTTTTTAAATTCGTCCAGACTGTCGTCTTTGGCAACTGTAGTTCATGACTTGCTTTTCCGAACAGATTTCTGCGGACTACGGACGGAAAGATTCTTTCGACACGTTCCACATTCTCTACAGAAACTTCCGGGTCTTCCCGGGCTTTTACCTTTACAAAGACATCCGGTCGTTTCGAATTGTCGATACCATCGGCGGATATTTCTGTCACATGGGGCATCACATTTAAACTTTAATCGGAACGCACGTTGAACAGCAATTACCGAATCACTCTTAGCAAATTGTAGAATGCTTTACGCTCAGAAGTCGCCATTTTGAATAGATGACGCTGCAACTGTGAAAACGATGTAGTGGTACAAGCACATGCGCTTATCTGAAACTGTTGGAGTTATTCTTTATTTGTCACCTTCAACCACAACTGTCGAACGATTACAGCTGATACTATTACAATTTGAAACTCAGACATTCTTTTCGGACACCCTGTAGAAAACAGTATGGTAATTAAAATAAACTTTACTACTAAAAGTTTTTTTTCCCCCATAACCTTTAACTGAATAATTTATTACTAGCACCATGAGAATTTTCCTATACATAGAAAGGCCAAAGCAGTCATTTTGCTTGGCTAAGTTATTTGTTTAAAAGTTAAAATTCATTCTAATGATTTTTAAATCACTATTGGCACTAGTTTATTTAAATTTACATTTTTTTAATGCTCTTTGGCAATTCTAAAATGATCTGTATGAATTTTTGCATATAGCACTGGCAGCATTTTCAGTAATCTTTTGTTGTCTTTTTCTTTCTGTATTTCAGTTTAGAATATGTTTTATAGTTCATACTTATTTTTTAAGCAATATGGTTTTACATCTGAACATTTCTTGCAAGCATCTCTTTATATTACTTTCCTAGTAATTCTACATTGAATGACTTTTTTTTTTAGCTAATTTTACAATAATTTGCAGTTCAAACAAAATTACTGTAAGATTACTTATTAGCTGATGTCTAGAAATTTCTTTTACTAGCTGTATTCTTCTCTTTAATAGAAGATATTTCAAGCATTCAAATCATGTCTAAAAGCATGTTAAAATGATCTTGTTTCTGTTAAGTCATTTCATGTGCTCATTTCAGTATAAGGTGATCCGATCAGGAAATTTGTCTAATATTCTGTAATTTACAGTCAGTTTCATGCTATCATTTTTTACCACTTTCAGTATACAAAAGAAAACATCAAAGGATTTTGTTTTAGGTGATACTGTTCATCTGCGATGATTTGTTATTAAGCTTATTCCATTTGATTTAAAATTTTCTCCAAATATTAGAAGAGAAAGGAAGTTATTAGTATTGATAGTTTTTCTTTAATGGAGAAAAACAGTTTAAAGTTCAAGATAACTCCAAAAGAATTTTTCAGGTGGAACTTGTGTTTTATGTTATTTTGTATGTGTTTTCTGTTACAATTTATAAATAGCAAATTAATTTCCAGTGTTAAACATATAGGGCACACTCTAAGAATTTTGCAGTAACATATTTCACTGTCCCCTTATCAGTTATATTATAAATATTGTGTATGCATATCACAATATTTAGGTCACTTTTTCTGCCCTGTGTAAGACTGGCTGGCTCTGTAAACATAACAAAACTTTTCTTCTACATATGCTTTTCCTGACACACTGGAAAGAGATTTTCAAATGCATCCTTTGTAGCAAGAATTTATGCATGGTTTTTTTTTTTTTTTTTTTTTTTTTTTTTTTCATAAATGTGAGCTCCACAGCTTCTTTGAAAGATGTTATATTTATGCTTTCATTATTATGGAGTTTCTTTTAATGCATAAACTAGTTTTATAAGCCTTTTAGATAGAATGATCAAATTAATTGCTGCTGTAGATATAGCCACCTCTAAAATCAAACCAGGTTTTTTTTTTTTTTTTTTTTTTTCACTTGTTACATATTTGGGTACTTTTAAGAAAAATATAAAATTTTTGTTTCACTTGCAGTTTGTTTTGACTTAAACAAAAGAATCATATTTGAATAATCAACCAACTTTGTGACACATTCACAATCAGATCTGTCATCCATTTATCAGTAAAAGATTGAAGATAAATATATATGCTTTCACATCTATTTTTTAACTAATCTGCAGTATTTTAAGTTGCCAACTATTGATACTTTTTCATCACTTTACTAAGCATCATGTGCAATAATTTTAGTTGCCTTTATTGAAATCACTTGTGTAAATCAGCAGATGGCAAAAGAAATCTGGCATTTAGCTTACAAATCAGATTTTTGAGGATGATGTAAACTTTTATCTTCTGTTTCTTTAAAATGTGCATTCCAAGATCATAGGTCCTCCCACCCATTTTTAGATGTAAAATGTATCATAAATTTCCTTAATGGTGAAATCTTTTCAGATTTAAAATCATCTACACTTGAAATGGTGAAAATGAATTTGAGATCGTTCGTCTTTTTAGCAGTAGATGTTACCATTGTATGAGAAAAGCTAAAGAGCCAAAGAAATAACATTGAAATACCTGTTTTAAAATTAACAGATTATATTACTCGAATAAACATTATAAATTTATAGTTTTACATTATAAAATTTTAGATGCTGCTGCATTTTATGGTCTTTAACTAACTGTGTTATGTTTTAAATATTTAAGATTGTTTTTAAGTATATAAATGAACACCATTTTTTTTACTTTTTAAGTATTTAGATTTACCTTCTAAATTATTTTTTGTTTCACAAAAGTATGTGCCTGATGAAGTCCTTCACAGTGCAGTTTTTCACTTAAAACTGCTGCTTTTTGATGTGCCTGATGGTGCCATTGGTAATAGTATGTCCAGCATTTATTAATTTGAACTTTTTGACATTAAAAATTAAATTTATATGTGCAATGGTAACCTTTCTATTATTAAACCTTGTATTATTATTAACAATGGCTCATATGCTAAAATGTGAACTGAAGAAATGCACTGCTTTTTTTAACATGGTTACAAAAGTCATTGAAATTCAGTAGCCACCAGTAATCAATCATATTTCACAACTAGTTAGATCAGTAAGTCAGGTTCATATCATGAAAGGTAATACTATCACTGTTTTCTTTGGTTGCTATTTTATTGTTTTTTTACTATCATTTATGCATAATTTAATGGGCTTTTATATGTTTATTTTGGTAAAGATTTCTCTGAAATCTGTATTTTCTCCTAGAAATATTTCATATGTATGCTATTAAAATTATTCTCCGAAAATGCTCATAAAAGTTTTGTAATATTTATTTAAATTATTTTACAAACATGTTGTTTTTAACATTTTGGTAACTAATATTTATATAGTATTTAATTTCTTATAGAGTAATGATGCCCACAACTTGCTTCGCCCAGAAACTGTTGAAAGTTTATGGTATTTATATCATTTAACTCACAATGAAACATATCGTGAATGGGGATGGAATATATTTCAAGCTTTTGAAAAATATGCTAAGGTTGAAGATGGTGGTTATACTTCTATTGGTGATGTGCGTAATCCCCAGATAACTAAGCCAAGAGATATGATGGAGAGCTTCTTTTTAGCAGAAACTCTAAAATACTTATTTTTATTATTCAGTGACAATCAAGAATTATATTCGTTAGACAGGTATATTTACAATTCTGAAGCACATTTGTTACCTATTTTGAATTCCTAATGATGAATGTTATAGTCCTTCATTATGTTTATGCATATAATATAGAAGATAATTGTTAATTATTTATTGTTGAAAATTCAATGATTTATATGTACTTAAAGTTTCGAATATTTTTTTATGATTCTGATTTCCTTACACCATAATTTATGTTATGAAAATATTTTTATGTTTGTTTTAAATTATTCAACAGTATTGCAATTGCAGTAAAGAAAAACCTCCCTTCCCCATTTCCTTTGAATTTTCAACAGGTGAAATACACTCTCAGAAAAAAAAAAAAAAATCTACATGTCTAGAAAAATTGTTCCATTATGATGAAATCTAACGTTTTGTTTGAAGAGAGAGAGGTGAGGAAGTGAGTGAAATTGGATGGTGAACAGCTCATTTATTGTGAAAATATAAGTAAAAAAAAAAAAAAACTGTTGGAGATTAGAATCATGCATAGGCACCACTGATAACTATGTTTGAAGTCTCATATTTTCTTGCAAATTTGAAATGCAGTCATGCAGGACTAGCTGCAGGATAGTCTTGTAATTGCTCAGTAAGTTCACACTTATTCTGAGATGGCTGTGACTAACATCCTAATGTGTCCCGTGTGTATTTAATTGAGGTGAAAGCTAGAAATCCATCAGGGGTGGGTCCTGACAGTAAACTTAATGTTCTTTAGACATATTCATTGTGTGCAGAAGAGATTGAGTCTGACAGACTCAGTAGCATTGTTGTAATAAGTTGCAGGATATCAGTGCATTTGATGAACAGTTAAAGTGTTGTGTTGGGCCAGTAAAAGTGAGTTGAAACTCGAATCTAGTACATTGCAAATTTCACGGTTGCATCACCAGAGTAGGCCATATTGTCAATACTTGGGAGCTAGACATTGCAATGGATACTGATAATGAAGCATTCTCTCAACAGTAAAGCATTCTATCTTACCCAATGATATGTGAATAAGTGTGTCAGGTAGAGAGAAGGTCCTTATGCAATTATGACAGCTTTTTGATAGCATTAATCCTCTCGAGAAGGTAATTGCTACGTTCAACACTATTACAGTCACATAATTAGGTATACTAGCATCTTCTTCTTTTTGACCTAACATCATCACTCGCTCTATTGGTTTTACCATCATCAGAATTTTCTTTGGGGTTCTCTTAATTGGTAATGCGAACAGTACTGCTACCTGAAAAGTCTATCTTGATACCTTTGTGCTGCATTGTGCTTAACTATAGCCCAAATTAAGCAGTTTTAAATTAAGTCGAAGGAAACCTTTGAAGGTGCGCTAATTTTGGAAGCTTACTATGGGTTCCGTGCTAACAGGGTAACAGAAAGTTCTTAAAAATTTTATACAGTTAGGTTTGCAAATATTTTAATTTGAAATTTTTAAAAAATAAAATATTCTAAATGTCATGCACCAAAATCAGTTTAAATTTTATTGGAAATAAAATATTTAAATTTTATTGGAAATAAAATTGAATTGAGTGTAATTCCCAATGAAAAAAATGTAAATGTCTTTAAAACAGAATTGCTTGGATTTGGTAGTATTATAGTTTTTAATCCTACACCAATTTTGAATTCTTCTCTGATCATTTTTAGTACAGTACAAAATCTGTAATCCGGACGTCCATTATCCAGAATGATCTATAATCCGGACCTCAAAGCCACAAACTTTAAGCATGCGCACATTGAAAGAAATGTTTAATAAAGTAAACAAATAAATATTAAGCTTTTTTTTTTTTGTAAAATTTGATACCCTTTAGATCATAATTGCTCTTTATTTCATATATTACGGTTTCATATTTTTAATTGTATAATTTCTGCATGCCATTTTACCAGATTTAAATTAATGATCTATAATCTGGAGAAACCCCTAATCCGGAATCGCTGAAGTCTCGACGAGTCCAGATTACAGACTTCGTACTGTATCTAAATTTGCATATATCTCTAAAGATTTTGAATAAAATTTCTTACTTTTTAAAAACATGTTCACTTTAAGATGGTGTGCAAATTTTATTAGGTTATAGCTGAAAATTTTTTCTGAAAATTTATAAAAAGTGTTTAAATCGGAAAAAATGCCTGAATTTTATTTAGAATAAATGTAAATTTTTTATTGTAAAAGGAGAAAGCTAAGAAGTGTTATCAACAAAGCCATATTATCAATTATATACCAAATTGAATTTTTAATTACATTTTTAAAATGCTATTGAATGTTTACATAATGTAGCATTTTAGCACGATTTAAGGTGTAGAATCAAAATAAGGAAAAATATTTGTGTGTAATTTCAGAGAAAAGTCCAGTTTTGTGTCAAAATACATATGTTACAACAATACTGTATGTAAATGTAATGTGTATGATAAGTTGTGCTTATTGAGGTCATGAGAAACATAGTTGAATTTCATCAGATTGGTAAATGAACAACTCTCTGTTTCTCTCTCGGAGTCAGAGCTTTGCTGGGCAACCACAGAGTCCTTGATTTCAAAATTAAAAATCAAAAAAGCAGAGATTGATAGAGGGGTAGAACAAGCAGTATATTTATTGTGAAATCTGTAAGATTGTTATACAGAAGTTTCCAACTAATAGTTACAAAAGTTGCCAACAAACGATGCTGTAATCGCAATATGTAGTGTGTAAAGAGTGATCTGTTTCACCTTTTAAATGTGAAAGGTAAGCATATTTAAGGAAGAAGTTGAAATCAGTTTCTGTTGAACAATTTGTGCTTCTGGTACTGGTTTGGATTATTGAGATTATAGCAAAGAACACTAGAGCAGAGATGCCTTTGTGGAGCACTTTCTAAGGGAAACTGGCTCATATACACATTGCACATGGGAAAACCACGAAAACGCCCATGTAGCCAGTTGGTTTGTGGGGTTCAAACGTCGCACAAAACTACTAGAGTTCAGTGACTACTGCTCGGCCGCTGGTGGGTTGTTTTTAGTACTTACTGGAATACCAGAGGTTAGATCACAGTCCTATAGCAAGTCCTATAGTTTTCAAGCACTATTGAATGTTTCCTAAAGACCAGATGTGAAAAACATTCACAAGCTCTTCATTAAATGTCCAACCTACAGGCAACGTGGATGATGATGTGGTAGGGATTTTTGGTCACAGGCAAACTCTAGTTACTCCTGAAAATGTTGTGATAGTTTCTGGAATTATTCAGCAAAATACGAGGTAAATCTTATGAAGAATTGCAGCAACGATTGGTTTGAAGCATTCCAGCACACGGAAAATGCTGAGAAACGGCCTAGACATGTTTCCATTTAAAATCTGAAGTCACCAGGCTACAGTGCCATTTGTTGACAGCTTTTGTAACTATCATTTCAAAACTCCTATATAACAATTTTGCAGCTTTCACAATAAATAGACCACTTGTTGTGTTCCTGTATTTATCTTTGGGCTTGAGATTTTTAATTTTGAAACCAGGGGAGAGCATGAAATCTAAAATAGTTAATTTTGAGGTTGCCAATCCTTTCTTAAAGCAACCATTGTGTTTTGCTACATTTTATATATATATATTGTTTATTGTAGCATGCGTACAAGTGCGTAATAAATTGAAATTGCAAGTCCGATGAAAAGTGAATAAAAGTTTATTCTTATCACAACTAAAACAAAATGCTGAAATTTCCTCCGAGATATTCATACAGTATCGCAATATCTCCCAGTAGTTATATTTTAAACTACTAAAATGTTGAATAGAACTCAATTCAAAACACTGAGAAAGCTAATCCGATCTCACCACGAATTCGCTACAATCAATAACAGCACCAAGTAAATAACTAAATTGAGATGTTTTCCTTTGGCTTTTATAACTTTTTAATCATGCATGAGAACATTCCCTGTTTTAGTTTCCCTGTTTCTTGTTAGGGGATGTCTTAACATCTGTACTCTGTTTTGCAGTTTCTTTGTATGTGCCTTCAGCACCACAGTTCCAGCACTTTAGGGTAAATTTCTTGTCAATAATATTCTGTCTCAGGGCGTTGAGTCGTCTGGTTCAATTGTCTAGACGAACAGTCACTTGATCCCCTGGCTCCTGGACTTGAGCAGCCCTGACTGGGTGGCAGTCTCTACGAGTTGCTTGCTTTGCTGGGCTGCCTCGAATTCCATGGCATAGACTAGAGTGCTTTTCAAATCTTTAACATCTGCCATCTGTAGAGCTTTCTGTATTTCAGGATCTCGGATGCCATCAATAATGTATTGCAGAAACAGAATTTCCTTTGTTTCTCTCGGGCACTCTGAAAAGGCGAGATGGGACAGCCCTTCAATGTCTGTGGCGAGCTCCTGGAGTGTTTTGGTGGGCTTCTGTTGAGGGGATTTTAATTGAAGCCTGCTGTAGTCTTTTAAACATTTCTCATCAAAGTGCAGCTACAACGTGCTGGATAAAGCTTCGAAGTCTAGTCTCTGGTTTTCTGGAAGAGTTTCAAGAATATCCACAGAAGCGCCGAGATGACAGGTCTTAGTTTGGGAATCCCATCCGTCCACTTCTGACACTATTGAAAATTGTGTCTTAAGCACTTGCCAGGAGCTCTTTCCATCATATGTGGATAACTTCAGGGAGCGACAGGCAGGCATGGGGAAAAATTTAAAACCATCAGAATTGCTTCCTGCTGTTGCTATGCATTTCTTTAAGGTATCAACTTCTGTGGCGACTGCAGAAACCCTGTCATCAGTTTGTTGTTGAAAAGCAGAAACTTTCTCTTCAATTTCTCCAACTCAGTTTTCAGACGTGTCTATAGCTTCAAATTTGTTTTCAAATACAGATGATTTCTCTTTTCATTTCCTCTTGGCCCACTTTCATTTCTTCGTTAACAGCTTCTATCTTTTCTCGAACATCTTCTTTAACAGAAACCTGACCATCTTCCATCTTTTTTTTTAACGAATTCCTGTCCTGCTTTAATCTCTGCTTTAAAGGATGCTTGGCCAGCTTCCATCTTTTTTTGGAATGCAGTAAAAGCAATGACGAGCTGTCTCAACTGTTCTTCCAATCTCTTGTGATTGGCATTCAAACCCCACTCCTGACACCAAAAAGTGTTGTGTACGTACGGCTTCTTAATAAATTGAATGCAAGTGAATAAAAATTTATTCTTATCACAACAAATAAAACAGAATGCTAAAATTTCCTCAATCTCACAGTAGTTATATTTGAAACTTCTAAAATGTTGAATAGAACTCAATTCAAAACACTGAGAAAGCTTATCCGATCTCACTGCAAATTTGCTACAATCAATAACAGCACTAATGAAACAACTAAATTGAACCATTTTCCTTCGGCTTTTATAAGCTTTTTAACTCCTGCACAAGAACATTCCACAATTTTTATTTTCTCGATAGCAAAAGAGTACAATTATGAGATATCTATTTATTAAAGTGTTAAATGTGCATGCTGCTGTATTTTAATTTTTTTCCGGCATAGCTTTCTTTTCAATTAAGTCTTGTGCAGCATTATACATGAATATAAAACAATTTTCATTAATTCTACTAAAAATAGCTAAATAAATACAAAAAATGTAACAATATATATATATATAATAAATGGGGAAGTATATTTGAAATAAATGATAGTAGGTAACCAAATTGTGGTCTTGGGGTAAACATGTGGCAAAGGGCTTTGTACAAAAGTTGTTTTGGTAAAATTCCATAATTTATCTGTGTGGTGAATATACCCTGATGACTGTGAACTGCCTTGTAAAAAATGTGTTGCTGCATTTGCTTAATGCATCCATTCATGGGATGAGTTTTTTAGGTAGTCATGCAAAAGTTTGTTTTGAAATTTATTTTGAATCATGTAATTTATGCCGTTCTTAGGTGACTACAGTTACCCAAGCAGGAGGGTCATAGCAAATTGATGACCCTCCTGCTGGGCCAAATTGGTGCTGTCTGTTAAGACAGGGTTTGGAATATTGTCCCAGCAGGGGGAGCAACTTAAAATGTTGTAAGCCTATTATGCATTGACCAAACTTATTAATAACTTCATGCTAACTGCCCTTTGTTTCATCCAGAACTTCAAAAGGATTAATTGAAAGTCGCTTTATGAATTTTCCTTTTATAGATTACTAATAATTTTATATTGTTTGCATTAATACTGACTTTCCATTTCCAAAGCGCAGTCTGGTAGTTTCACAAGTGCGTTATTTTGAAGGGATTTAACTTACTGGAGGGATACTTTGTGTGATGCTTCTGCATGAGGAATAGGAACCCCGCCCCCCATTAATGCTAAAGTATCAATGCATAAGTAGAAGAAATGAATTAGAAGATTTTTTTTTTTTTTCTGGCTAAAAGTAAGCTTGATCAATTCATAGCCTTCAACTGACACTATGTTACAGCTGATGCAGTTGAAGGCTTTCACCGTATCTAGTGTGAGGAATGTTTGTGATGTAAGATAGCTCTGTTTAACTCAATCACTCTCACAAGCTGTTATACAGCTGATAGATGTCTCCTAAGTCACTGCTGTTCTTTTGGAAGCACATGAAAATATGGTTGAATTTGTTGAAGAATAATCTTTCCTAATATTTTCATCATATTGGGAGAAGGCTGGTGGATCTGTAACTTTCTGCTGTAGAAATACCATTTCATGAGAAATACCATTTTTCTAGCCTTTTTCTGGAGAAAAGCATAACATGACATTTAGTATACATGCAAGATTCTGAATATATTGTCATATTTGCTATTCAGTCTAGAAGTTTTTTTTTTATGTTCAGCTTTTTCTTAATGTTGATAATTTTGATAACA